TTCTAGGAAGGGCCTTGCTACAGGCCAAATTCAGCCACAGCCTGTGCCCTGCCCTAGGCCACTTATGAGCCACCAAACAATTTGCAGATGGCCGTCACCAGAGGCCAAGAGAGGCCAAGCCGGGAACCGAGGCTGGCTGCCATTAGTGCCAGGCTTGAGACTACTCAACAAGAGGTACAGGGTACACCGAGGCCAGATGCAAGAGATCTGCAGCATGAACCTCAAGACAGGCCATTTGTATGGAAAAGCCACTGGAAGGAGCTTGGCTGGGCCTTCAAATTGGGAGGGGCAGTTCTCAGGAAATCACTTGGGCTGGGCGAATGGTGTTAGCCAGGGTGATGGAGACTCAGACTTAGTGTCCGCCTGTGCCTGCAGGCTAGGTCGGGAAAAGACTCAGAAAAGGAATAATGGCTTCTGTCAGCACTTCTTTCTGGGAGAAAGCCTACCTTCTGGCCTTTGCTCTGAAGTCAGACAATTCACTTCCTCCCATAGGTTTCTGGCACCTTTCAAACTGCTGCCCCAGTGCTGGAGCTCAGAGTGAGTGAGTCTGTCACCGAATAGGTTCACACACAGGCCCTTCAAGAGGAATGCCCGGTACTCCAGCTGCCCTCCATCTCACTCAGCCACAAATTGCACTGTTTTTCACAGCCAGAGTTATGGAGACTTCTCTTCCTGGCACAGGAATCTTGGGTTAGGGAGCCTGGTGTGGGGCTGGGACCACTTGTTCCTCTGGAGAGACCTCCACAGCATAGATATCCCTCCCAATTTTTACTCGCTACAGGAAGATGTGAGACTAGCCTGTTTTGCGTCTCCACCTCTCCTACCAGTCTTAGTGTGGCTTCTTCTGTATGTCCTTAGTTGTAGGACTTCTGGTTTAGCTTGATTTCAGGTGATTCTCGATGATAGTTGTTCTGTAGCTGTAGTTTTTGATGTGATCATGAGAGGAGGCAAGCACAGTGTTCATCTGCTCCACCATCTTGACCGGAAATCCTGATTGAATGTTCTCTTATTTTTTAATTTGAAATCTTTGTAAATTTTGGATACCAGTCCTTTATCAGATGTCTTTTGCAAAATGTTTCTCCTAGTCTGTGGCTTGTCTTTTTATTCCTTCTTTAGTGTCTTTTTTAGAGCAGAAATTCTTAACTTCAGTGAAGCCCAAATTTCTAATTTTTTCTTTCATGGATTGTGCTTTTGGTGTTGCATCCAGACTCATTGACAAACTCAAGGTCACCTAGGTTTTCCCCTATCTTTCTCATTTGCTTTTATTTTGGGGTCCATGAGGATACTTTGTCAATTAGTTTTGTTGCAAATTGTGTCCCTGGTTTTTTGTTTTGCTGTCTCATTCATCTGTCTTTATGTGGGGATTCAGAGAGAATAAAAAAATATGACACTTTGCCACTACCACCTTCTCAGAACCCTTCTAACCAAGCCTCATTTTAAAGAATCTGTTATATTGAAGTATAATTTACAAATAATAAAAATCACTATTTTAAGTGTATAGTTCGTTGAGTTTTGATAAATATATATCATCAATCATGTGACCAATACCATAGTCAAGATATGAATATTTTCATTACCCCAGAAAGGTCTCCTTCCTCCTTGCAGTCAGTCAGCCCTCCATTTCCCCATCGCCTGTTAACCACTGATCTTCTGTTAGTATAGTTTTGTCTTTATTAAAATTTCATATTAATGGAATCGTACAGTTTTTAGTCTCTTGAGTCTGATCTCTATTACCCAGTGTAATGCTATTGAGATTCATCTATGTTGCTCTGTTTTATTGCTGAGTAGGATTCCATTATATGGATGTACTGTAGTTTATTTGTTCACAAATTGATGAGCATTTTGGTTATTTGTGGTTTTTAGCTGCCACGAACATTTGTGGTACAAGTCTTTTACAATATATTCTGATTTCTCTTGAGTAAGACTTAGGAGTGAAATTGCTGGGTCATAGACGTGTATATTTATTAAAAAGGTGCCAGTTTTTTCAAGCAGTCACTCCATTTTACATTCTCATCAGCACTACATATGAGAATTCCACTTGGTACATTCTCATTAATACGTGGTATTCTCAGTGTTTAACTTTTGCCACTCTGTTGCATTTATACTAGTATCTTATTTACATTTCCCTGGTGATAGAGAATCTTGGACATCTTTTCACTGCTTGTTAGACATTTGTATCTCTTCTTTTATGAACTCTCTGTTGAGAATTTATGCCCATTTTTTAAATTTAGGGTTTTTTGTTGTTGTTGCGTTCTAAGAATTCTTTATATATTCTGGATATCCTTTGTCAGATACATTGCAAATATTTTCTCCCAGTTGAAAATCAAAAGTTTCAAATTTTAATGAAGTCGTTTATCACTTTTTAATTTTACGTTTTGTGCTTTTCATGCCATAAGTCTTTGCCGACTCTAAGGTTGCAAAGATTTCCCCTAGGATTTTATTCTAGAAGTTTTATAGTTTTCAATTTAGATCTATGATCCATCTTGAATTAATTTTTGTGTGAGGTGTGGATAGGGGCTAGGGTTTTTTCTTAGGGATAATTTGTTGCTCCAGTATCATTTATTATAAAGACCTATGGCACATTTGACATAAATCAGAAAACTATGTATGTGAATTCTGAATTCTTTATTCTGTTCTTTGGTCTTTTTCTCTATCCTTCTATAGTAGCACACTGGCTTGATTATTATAGCTTTATGTATAATCTTGAACACTGGTAGATAAATCTTCCAACTTTGCCCATCTTCTTCAGTATTCTTTTGACTAGTCTTTTTTATATTCATATAAAATTTTAGAATCAGCTTGCAAATTCAAAGCCTGCTGGAATTTTGATTGGCATTGGTTGAGCCTATAGATTAATACGGGAAGAATTGACATCTTAATACTGAGTTTTCTGATTTATTAATGTGGTATATCACTCTGTTTATCTAGGTCATTTTTAGTTTCTTTAAGCAATATGTTATAGTTTTCAGTAGATCTATATTCAGTAAGTCTTATACTTACTAGTATTTCATGTTCTTGGATACTATTGTTAATTATTTTTCTTTAAACTTAATCTAAGTGTTTTAGAAATGCAATTGATTTTTGTATCCTTATCTTACATCATGCAACCGTAATAAATAAACTGAATTAGTTATGTGCATGGGTACTAGGGAGAGTGGAATTAACACAGGTGTGTGTAGGGGGTGAGGTGGCAGGAAAGGACCCTCCCAGTGTGCCCAGGAATGAGGGGTTTCCTGGCACGTGGTACTCTCAGTGCTGTAACTGAGACAGTGCCAGACAAACCAGGACCTCCAAACCCTATCTCTCCCCTTTATTCCTATAATCCTAAAACAATCACCATTATCATATATTTTCTCTGTTATTTTTCTTTGTGCATCTTCTTAAAAATTTTATCATTGGCGTATATATTATGCCTTGTGTATTTCTCGTAACGTCGTAGTGAGAATTTTTCTCATCCTCCATACCACCTTGTGTTCACTGACGGCCATCTATCACCAAGTGAGCTAAGGTCTGGAATGGCAGACTGGTGGAACCTCTAAACCACAGGGGAGAAGACTCCCTGGGAGAGGATCATCTGCCAGGTAGGAAAGAATATTGAACTCCTGCCTGAGGTAGAGGTGGGCTTGAGTAAGCATTCAGGGTTTCTTGAGGGTTTCCTCCGTGGTGCTGGAGAATGACTGGCTCAGGAACCATAACAGACATGTTACCTATCCTTTTTCTGCTGACATTCCAGTGGGAATGGTCAACAGTGGACAGGTGAGTAAGAAAAATGGTGACAGGTGCTGTGAAGAGGATGAAATGCTGTGAAATACGAGGAGGGTATGCTGGTGTCAGTGTGCAGGGGTGGGGACAAGGGGCCCTTTGAAAATTATAGGCAGGGAGGGACTTTCCTAGGAGGAGTCCCCTACACTGAAGGCCAGATAAGAAGGATCCAGCCATAGGAAGAATATTTCAGGCAGAGGAATGAGCAGCTACGCAGGCCCAGGGGGATGGGTTAGTGTGAAGTGTTTGTGGAGCAGGACAAGGCTCAGGGGCAATGAGAGTGGGAGAAGGGCAGGTAATGAGGTTGGAGGGGACCATAGAAGAGGGCCAGATGCTGTCAGCCCCGTGAGATCTGACACCCTTTTCGATCACAAGGGTGACCTCACCCCTGCCTGCCTTGCCTGCTTTACCTCCCAGTCAGAACTGGCGTCACCACCATCCTACTAAGTAACCAATTCTTGCTCCTGGCATCTGCTCTGGGCAGCCAGGGCTCCCTGCTCTATTTTATTTTTATTTTTATTTATTTATTTATTTTGGTGCCTACAGCACCTGGTCTTCCTAGGTGGTCTCCCATCCAAGTACTAACCAGGCCCGACCCTGCTTAGCTTCCGAGATCAGATGGGATCCGGCTCGTTCAGAGTAGCATGGCTGTTGACTGGGCTCCCTGCTCTAATACAGATGTTGCTCCCTCTGACTGGAGTGCCTTCTCCATACTCTTGCTAATACATCTGCACACCCACATTCCCCCTCCCACACCAATAACCCTGCATACAGTTGCCTCGAAGAGTTGTCTTCTTGAGCACGCGCTAGCTGAGGCATGTCTGTCCCTTCGTGGGTTGCTGAGCGTCCCTGTAGGACATAGCTTCATCCTTGTTTCCGGGGTGCCTCATACACAGTAGGCTCTTAATAAAATGCCTATTGTTATATGAACAAAGGTCAGAAAGGGATACTATTTTAAGAAAGATTTTTTTAAAGTGCAGTTAAAAAGTAAACAAGGGAACTCTTATAACTAATAATGCAGCTTTAAAACAATAAGATTTACCCAAAAGAACTTCCATTAGATTTACTAAATTTCTATTGAGAGTAATTATTTGTGAGTATGGTAAGGTTTTTGTTTTGTTTTTCGGCCAGTTTCCTAGGTTATTTTTAAATCCCTGTTCATGTGCTTTGCGCTTGTAGGTCAGATACATCTTGGGTTAAGCTCGATTTCATTTTCCGGATATGTTTATATGTTTCAGATAATACCCTGTTATATTTCAAATGCAACAAATTACTTTGGTCGTATAGTTGATAAACATGTGGATCTTTATGCAACTCTTAATGCTGAAATGAAGGAGTATTTTGAGGATTCCAGTAATAAAACAACTGTTGAAAAGGTGGAGAATTTTGGATTATATGGATTAGCAGAAAAAACACTTTTTCACAGGTAGAATGCCTGTTTATTTCATCTTGAAAAGTTATGAAGCACAAGGTGACTTAAGATGATATTGAATCCCTATTTTCACCTCTGTCCATTGGACCCAGTGTTCACATGCTAGGCCTCCTGCCTCCCAGGAGGATGGTGGCAGGGTTGTGACCCCCAGACCCCAGACACAGTTCTATACCTGGGACTTGTACTGACCCCGGGCTCCTGAGCACAGAGCATGGATGATGGTGTCGCATTTTATACAGTTGTGGAGCTGTCACTCTGTGCCATATACGTGTGTGTGTATATATATATCTTTAAGTTACTTAATTTTTATAAATCTTAGAAAATGAGCATTATTCCCATTTTACAGATAAGCAGACTGAGCCTTGGTGAGGCTGCGTAATATGTCTAAGGTGAGCTCACTAAATGGCATGGTGGTCCAACCCTGGCAATCTGACTTACCTACCTATTTGCATCCACTTTTCTTGAATGCTACACCTGACTCCACTTGTTTGAGAAACTTGAAAATATTAATTTACTATGTTAATTTTTATTGTGTTGTCAGATATTCTATTCAAAAGTACTACACGTTTTTTATACTTAGGTATACTTTAATAAACCTTTGCTAACTGCTCTCGACAGCTCTAGTTGTTTTATTTCTAGTATGGGGTAAAATCGTGCAGTTAGGCTTCTTTTTATATGTTTTGTATTTAATGGGTAAGTCGAGGCGAAGATTATTTTCATTTTAGAATCTGTGTTAAACTGATGTCACTATTCTCCAGGGTTCAGGTGTTGGAGATGAGCCAGAAAGAAGACACTTGGGCCCCGGATAATGTCCTTGTAAAGTTTATAGATGAGGGCAGGACTGGACTTGTTACAAAAGACCAACTCCTGCATCTCCCAGAAAATTTCCACAACCTGCCCCCGCAAGCTGTGGAGTTTATTGTTTGTAGAGTGAAACCCGCTGACAACGAAATCGAATGGAATCCAAAGGTGAATTATTTTGGCTTTTTATAGTTTGTTGACTTTTAGAATAAATTTAACCTAGAGTATACACAGAATTAAGGTTTATTTGGTTGAATATTCAGTTTGTGTGAAGTGCTTCATGTTCCCAAACAGTGAGAGCACAGTCCACGTGGATCCCTTCTGGTGCGGGGATGCACTTAGGGCCGCTCTGCACAGACCTAGCTCTGAACCCTCAGTGGTGCCAGGCACCCTTGCTCGCCAGGTGTGGGTTGCCATCATTATCATTAGCACTCACGAACTTAGAATTGGTGTAAAATATGTGTTGTATTAAAATAAATTGGCTGTTAGGTTAAGAAGAAACAGCGTAAGCACCTTTTTTGCAAAACTTATATAGCATATGCAGAATGAGGTGTTTTCTTAAAGCTGCTGATAAATTACTTCAGTGTGTTTTTTAGGTTACTAGGTACATTCATCATAAAATTATCGGAAAACTGCATGATGCAAAAGTGATACTGACTTTAGGAAATACGGTTTGGATTGATCCAATGGTAAGTATGCAGTTTTCCTAAAATAAAACGTGTTTGAGGGGCCCCTAAAAGTAATCCAAATTATTCTAACCTGTTGCTTGAATAACTGTTTTCTCACATAAGTGGAGACTCATTTGGGGCTCTGAGTTTTTTGTTATTTGGGTCATGAATTTGGCGGGGGTTTATTTTTTTAAGGGAATCTTTTACATTGTAACCCAATGCTCACAGGTGTGTGTATGTGTAACCACATACATCTACACACATGATTGAGACGGAAGCGCCACGAAAATGTCCTTCCTATGTGTGACAGTCCCTAATGTTTACAATTCTGTTCAATTCCACATTTTCAAGTGTTGGTTGTGTACCGATTTCACAGTCTTCTGTCCACATAGGTGAGGAAGCCCCGGGCCAGTGACTGTCCCTGCAACGGACAGCACAGGGGTTCATTCGTCTATTTGTAAATGAGCTTAAAGCCCCGGCATGTGATCGGTGATGCTGAGAGTTCTGGTCCTTGGGCTTTCAAAGATAGGTTTTATTATGTTCACGGTTTCTACCATATTCATTCACCAGATATTGAGTGAGCACCTACTGTGTGCTTGGACCTAAATGGGACACTTGGATTCCATTTGTGAACAGACTCCTCCCTGTGGAGCTATTGGGGGTTGAGGGGGACAGTGCTGAGACGAGGGACCTCAGTGTGTCCCTTCTGGTGCTGGCATCGTCCCCTCTCTGCTTGTGCCTCAAGAACTCTACTTTTCAATGGAAAGTTTTTTTCTATTAGACTTAAATCTTAATTATCATGACCATTTATAAGATTTAAAGGAATTGAGTTCATAAAAACTACATTGCTGGAAGTTATTTTCGTAAGATTGGAAAATCCTTAAAACTTTACAGGGAGTTTGGGTTGGGTATAACCTTTCAGAATAAGAGTAGAAAATGATTTTTAGAAGAGACAGCAGAGATTACCAGTGCAGGAAGAGATTTGGGGGTCTTAGCTGATGCTGTAATAGCAAATATTGTAGTTCTTTATTGGAGGAAAAAAGGAAACTTTATTAAGCAGCAATTTGAAAAACTATAGCTAAGAGAATGAAGCAAAATAAATAAATAAATAAAAAGAAAGTTAAAAAAAAAAAAAAAAAGCCCACCTGGCATATGTGCTTTCCCAGTTCCAAAGTATAGCAGTGTCCATGGTGCATTTGAGGGGAGATAGACCCGGTGGAGGCCTGCGGCTGTCCCACCCAGACCAGCTTGGTCTCCAGTGTGAGTGGAGAAAGGCGCTTTCACCAGTTCCAGATGGGGGCATATTCCCAGGGCTCACTTAGGATGGCGCCCCAGCCAGTGCCAGCCTGGCCCACCCTCCCCCTGCCACGAAAAGGACACCCAGGCTGCGTGTGCATCTCCCGTTAACAGGATTCAGACTGTTGCAGATTTTCGTGACTTACTTAATTTTAGTGTAAATCAAAATGGGTGAGAATGTTTTGGTTGCAGAAAAGACAAGTGGAGGAAACTGTCCAGAGCACAGGATGTAGGACTCTGGTGGAGAGTCTTTCTGGGCGCCTGAAGATCTTCCTTGTAACGAAGAGGTAAAAAGTACTTAGGTAAAAATCAGAAAACTCTAGGACTCGTGTGTGGTTACAGCGTTATGGATTGGTCTTGTCTGGGGGCTTTATTCCAGGATTCAGTCTTGGCCCCAACCCAGACCTGATATTTCTGCAGTGTGGGACTGGATCTGGAAGATTCTGATGTAATCTTGGTTATGAAATGATCCAGATGCCACAGCAGGAGGCGCTTGCACATTGTGGCACGTGCCCAAGTGCATCAGACATCACAGAGCTAACAAGAGGCCGTGTGAGAGGGCTTGCAGTTCATTTACAATTCAAAGTACGGTTCCTGAAATTGTTTTATTTTTTCTTTGATTCAAGGTACACATTACAAAACTCTCAAATCTGAAAACTTCCGTCATTGATTACAATGTTCGAGCTGAAATTTTGTCGATGGGAATGGGCATTGATAATTCAGAACATATAGAACAACTGAAACAGTTATACGAAGGAGCTAAAATGCCAGCTTTTGAAGAGAGCCTAAGCCAAAACCTGTAAGTGGATTTTTGTCACCCTTTTGGAAAAGGAAGAGCCGTTTTGTGGAAATATAACTCACAAATGTTACATTTTTTTTTTTTTTGAAAGTAGAATAGGTTAATGAGTGTCCATGTTCCTATCATCCAGAGTCAATAATTGCCAAGATTTTTGGGAATCTTTTTTTTTTTATCCAGACCTTGACCCTCTTTTTTGTTTTTGGAGTGTCATGAGACAGATTCTTCTTACAGAATGAATTTCCGTTAGCTTTTTATTGACAGTTAGCACACATACAGAAAAGTACGTATATCATAAGAGTAGTTTGGTGGATTTTCTGAGCACAGAAACTAGCCCCAGATCAGAAACAGGGCACTGCTCCGAGCTGGCTCCTCCCTCCCAACGTGGAAAAGCCTGGATGGCTCCTCCCTGGTTTGTCCTCTGAATGGAATCCTGCAGTGTGTCTCTTGTATCTGGCTTTTTTCGATCAGCATTATTTGTGAAATTCACCCATAGTGTGCATGTAGCCGTGGATCATAAATTCTCATTGCTGCATTATATTCCATTGTATGAATATACCACGATTTATCTGCTCATTCTCCTGTCAGTGGGAGAAAACATCCAATTCTGGGCTGCTTCAAGAGGTATTTCTGATGGACTAGAATTGCTGAGTCATAGTTAAGAGCTACTGCCTAGCAGTTTTCCAGATTGGCTGTACCCATTCACACTTCCACGAGCAGTATGAGAGACTGTGAAAGCCACTCTGAAAACGTACACTGAGCAGGGGAAGGGTGACACAGCATGCGTATCCAGCAGAGAACTTGAATCAAGAATTCCTTCCAATTAGGACGAAATTGCAGACACCTAGTAGAAAACTGGGCAAAGGACTTGAATAGACACTTCATAGTGTCCAATTAATTAATTGGCCACTAATATATAAAAAAGTGCTTGAACTCATTAGTCAAATTAAAACCACAATGTTATAATACCACCACATACCTATCAGAAATGAAAGAAAATGCCAAGTGTTGGGAAGGATGTGGAACAAATCAATGCATTTTAAAAACTTGACTAGCAGAGCTATTGCATCTAACAAAATTAATGGTAATTTCTTAAATTGCATGTGTTTTTTGTGTTAAAATATATATAACAAAATTTCTCATTTTCATTTGTTTTTTCCAAATTGTAGTAAAATACAGATAAAAATTGTCATTGTAGCTATTTTTAAGCATCACCCATGTTGTAGCATGTTTAAGATAAATCAGGGCCAGCTCACGTTTTAATGGAGTAGATAAACAGGTTACAAAAATACAGCGTGGGTCAGATGGTAATATGCGAGGGGAAGCAGATTAACAAAATAAGGTAGGGCAGCTTTGGGGCCAAGAGGTGAGTCGTGAGCAAAGACACAGGGGTGAGGCATGGCCCCGGTAGGTATCGGCGAGGACTCCTGTGGGCAGCGGAAAGACTTAGTTATTCCTTAATTCCAGGAACAGGGAGGAAGGTACCGTGACTAGAGCAGCAAAACGGGGGAGAACGCAGATGCAGAGGTGGGAGCAGTCCTGGGGTCAGGTCTTGTTGGCCCCTGTGGCCATTGCAGGGATTAGGCTCCTACTCTGAGGAGGCGGAAACAAGGGGGTTTTGAGCAGAGGAATAACTTAAAAGATTCTTAGCTACTGTGTTGAGAATAGACTGTAGTAGGGGATAAGGGCCATGCCAAGAGTTCAGGACAGGATGACAGTGGCTTGGACGAGGGTGGTTTTGTAGGGCTGGTGAGGAGTAGCTGGTTTCCAAACAGATTTGTAGTGAGCGTGTGATCTTGCGGAGCCTTGTCAGCCATTCCTAGATGTCAAAAGCTGGGCTGCTGGACAGGAGCCCCAGAGGAGTGGATGTAAGGTCCCAGGACTGAGCCCTGGGCCTCAAGTATTGAGAGGCATGGGAGCTGTGGGGACATCGGAGAGGAGCCTGGGGGAGAGGACATCCAGGATGGCGGGCAGGGGAGACAGAGCAGGGAGCCATGAGTTGTGCCAGAGCTGCCGACACCAAAGAAGTGAGTGAGGACTGGAAACTGACAAGTGGATTTAGGGATGTGGACATTGGTGACCTTGAAAGGTTCCTAAATAACTGCTGGAAGTAGGTGAATTTCAAAAAAAAAAACATGGCAAAGATTAAAATACTGTAGTCTGAAGTTTTTAGAGTTTTCTATCTTAATTAAATTGGGTATCTGTGGGATTAGGCTATGTGTTGGTTTCTGCAGACTTTCAGGAAACAAAAACTGCTCTTTTAAAAATGAAGATGTCAACTTCCGTGAGCAGTGCTGTGAGCAGTGCTGAGCGTGTGGCCGGGGTCTGTAGCCTGCCTTACTCCTCTGCTCCCGCCGCCCTGCCCACCGCCCTGCCCGCCGCGGCTCTGGGACCTGAGGGCAGGTGCCACTGGATGCTGTGCACCTGCCCCTTTCTGCTGTCAGTATGTAAATGCACAGAGAAACATGAATGGATAACAAAAGAGAATGATATTGGAACAGTGGGAATCAGCCATTCTACGCAGGAAGCTTTGGGAGATGTTTACTGTATTTGCCTGAAGTTGGGACAAAATCAAACAAACAAGATGAGTTTGGTACTTTGGAAAGTGTGCAAGGTCCGAGTGAACTCTGTTCTCTATCAGGAGAAGTAACTGAAATTAATGAAGCCTTTACAGAAAACCCAGGACTTGTCAACAAATCTTGCTATGAAGATGGTTGGCTGATCAAGATGACACTGAGTAACCCTTCAGAACTAGATGAAGTAATGAGTGAAGAAACATACGAGAAATACATAAAATCTATTAAGGATTGAAAATGGACCCCAAATAAAGTAGTATGAAACAACTTAATCTAGCATAGTTGTCTTAAATTAGTGGTGGATAGAAGATTTAAAATAGCAACTTTTAGCAATGCCAGTGAAAAAAGAAACTACAACAATGCTACCGGAACAAAATACCCTTTAACTTTCTAATGACTGCAGATAAACACAATATGCATCTTTTTCACAACACCCAAGAATTTTAGGCTAGGCTAAAGTTATTCAGAATTCTTGAAATTATTCGTGGTAAAATCTGGTTATAAAAAATTATGTAACTCAAGATAACATTGTTATCTTAAGCCTTATATGATATTGCAGCTTGCTTACATCCGCCTCTGGATTTGAGTCAAAATACTTAATGATCTTTCCATTGGAGATAACTGGCAGTGGAGTGAAGTTTTTGTTCGTTGTGACAGTCGGTGTCAGATGATGAACAATACTATCTTCATTTTGCAATGTACAAGTTTGCTGGTGCTATTTTTATACAGCGAAGCAACAGCGTTACAAGAAAACAAAGTTTAATAATAAAGCATTCAACTTTATTTTTAAAAAACGAAGACGTCATTACAGCTTAGGAGAGTTAATAAAAATGAGGATTGATCACTTATGTAGAACACAACAACTGTTGAGCCCCCAGCTCTGTGCAGGGCACTCTGCTGGGTCTCTTTGCACACTCGATTTTGTGGTTGTGCAGGAGTATTGCACACCTGTGATCGTAAACACAGGTAGAGAGAAGTGCAGAGATCTGCAAGAGCCTGCAGAGGGACCCTGCCTGGAAGAAGACACTCTGTTTCAGGAGCTGGATCAAGAAGCTGTGGCGATGATCTGGACAGAAGCAGGGAGAATGACCATTCTTGCAGCAGATCGGGAAAGAGGACAGATTCTGGGGACCTGAAAGGCCTGCAAGCCATAGTGCTTAGTGATTGACAAACATAGGGGAGTGTGATTCCATAGTTCTGAACCCTGGTGACTAAGAGGTTATTGGCACGGTTGACAGTTTCAGGATGCGTTCCAGAGAGCAGCTAGCTGGTTGAGTTGGTTTTGGACATAGTAAATTTAAGGTTATTGAAAGTAGAAGCCTAGAATTCAAGAGAGCATTTGGGAGAGGGCTCCGGTTTCCTGGTGCCTGAGGAGAGTCAGCACTTGGTAAGTGTGTGAGGGGGAAAGAACAGAGCCCGGGAGATGAGTCTAGTGAGAGAGGTCAGAGCCGCGGGGGAGGAAGAGGACGAGTGGTGGAGGGCTGGTGCTGCGCCGCAGGGGGGGCGGGGCCTGAGGAGGGTCCCGGCTCGGGTGGTTGGACATGGGACACTGCCCTCCGTCATTGGAGGAGTGCCGTGCTGCAGGCTTCATGTGTGTCAATCAGAAGTCCGCTGGAGACATACGCACACCCCTGCCCGATAGGGGCGTGTGTGTGTGTGTGTGTGTGTGTGTGGGTGTGTGTGTGCGTGCGCGCGCACAGATGTATACGCATTTGCATAGGTTTGTTCCTTTAGGCTTGACTGGTGTGTCAATCAGAAGTCCCCTGGAGACATATGCACACCCCTGCCCGATAGGGTCGTGTGTGCGTGTGTGTGTGTGCGCGCGCGCACAGATGTACACGCATTTGCATAGGTTTGTTCCTTTAGGCTTGACTTCTCTCTAAAAGGAGAGACTAATAACATGCACAAAAAATGAATTACATTGTCACCATGAGCAAGGCAACTGGGTGGCTGGGCAACAGGGGCGAGAGGGAGATTTTTACTGCGTAGACCTTTCTATTTATTGAACCACATGAATGTAGTTACCTGCTAAAAAAGCCAAAGGAAACCACCATTTTAGAAGAATGAGGCAGCCTCCTGTGTATCGATAGAGAGAAAATCTCTGGTTATTAAATACGATAAAATAAGGGACAGAAATGTGAATTTAAATTTCCATGTATTTAAATGTACGTGCGTGTGTTTTAGATAGATACAGGTGGCAATAATTTGCTTTTTTTTTTTTTTTTTATACAAAGACTGTTCTAGAAGCGGACCTAAATTGGTAAGGGGAGTGGGGTATCTCTGGGAAGAGGAGCTGAGAGATTAGGGCTTTTATCCTCATTGAAGTGGGTGACAGTGTATGTTATTCTCAAAGTTAAATGGTTCGAAAGGACACTTACTTTGGTAAATGAGCTGATGCATCGATCTGATAACATGGATCACTCGTCTACTCTGTGCCTCAAGCAAGAGGCACAGAGCGAACAGAGCTGGCTGCCCTGCCAGTCTTATGTCAATGAACCGTCAGTTCTGGGTGGGTCCGGCTCATGGATGTGAGTGCGCCGCAGTCATTTACAGCCCTCCTTCATTTTTTTGCTGGGAAGTCCCTATAGAGAGCCAGATTTTGCTGTTTCCTCATCTGGGAGTTAATAACCTCTGCCTCTTCTGTCCAGGAGACCGTCTTCAGCAGAAGATGCTGCCTGTCTGCAGAGCACACAGCAAGAGGACGGGGATTCGGGAAGAGGAGCTGACTCCAAGACAAGCTCAGAGAACCAAAAGGATGGTAAGTTATTTGAAAGATGGTTAACTTAAAATTATTAATGCTTGGAAATTTTCTTAATGGCTTTCCACTTTTAGATGAATTGCAGAGAAGGTGACATAAACTGAAATTACCTAACTTCCTATTTTTAACAATTCAGCTTACAGTGTTTTTTTTTTTTTTTTCCCTAACTTTTTTTCCTTTTTATTAGTTCAGGTATAATGTTCATTCAGTAAAGTGTACAGTTTATCAGAGTTTTTTACACACACACACACACATATCCATTAACCACACCTAAATCAAGCTACTGAATATTGCCAGAACCCAGCAGCTTCCTTCAGGCACCTGTCCCATCTGTAACCTTCCCCAGTAACACTGTCCTGACTTCTGTCACCATCACTTTTGCTGTCAACATTATGTGATTATTGCAAGTAGCAGTGGTAATTTTTTTTTATTGCTGAGTTGTAGTCTATGATATGAATATACCCCAATTTATCCGTTCACCTGTTGATAGATGTTGAGGTTGTTTTCAGGTTTTAATTATTGTTATTAAAGCTTCTGTGAACGTTCTCGTTTAAGTCTCTGGATAGAAGCTTCAAATATTTTAGATTGAGAAATTTAAGTTGCATCATTTCAGAAAATGTTATGTTCAGCATTGGTTCCTTGAATGTACTGGCTACTGTTGCGGAATCATCTTTAGGGGGGTCTTAGCAGGTGAAGATAGCAGAGGAGTCTGGACATTTGTACCCTACAGCCACCAACTGTAATGCGGTTCCTTTACTTTCCCAAGTGTTTAACTGTAATATTTGTCAAAGCTTGTTTTTATTAGTTTTACTAAGTGACGTGCACTTGAATTTTTTAAAATAATTTTTTGCAGCCGTATAGCTGGGTTGCTTATGAAATTTATACTCTTAGTACCGCTTCAGCTAAAAGTTGGCATAAAGTGCAAAAAAAGTACATGCACGTGCACATATTATCAAGTTTCATATGAATAACCTATCGGAAAATTTGCCTTTTTTGTACAGAAACTTTTCCTGAAAACGCTAAAGATGCTCCCATTGACAGAACCACAGAGCCTCTGAAAAGGTATGCGCACCCATTGTTGGAGTCTGCTTTCCGTCCTTACCTGGTGAGCAGCAGTGATGAGCCCTTTGCTTCTCCTCTAGCTTCCACCCGCAAATAAAATGGTTCCAAAAAGAGGATGCGGTCATATTGAAGATAAGAATAAGGAACGTAAAAGATTACAAATGTAAATATTTTAGAGATAGAGTCATTTTCAGGTAGGTTTATGTATGTCTTATAAGGTAAAATAGAAATAATTTCTGACATTTTTTAGAAAGCTGATTTTATTTCTTTTCGTAAACCTAGTGCCTGGGTAGGAGAGAAGTTTTACTTGGCTGATATGGAGCTGCAGGCCAACATAATAAAAGATGATTGCAAATGCGTAATTAAGAACGATGAACCCATAATCACTCTTGCAAAAGAGAGAAGGGAGTCTTGGTGTCGCTTACTCAAACGGAGGGTGAGTAGGAATTACCTGTGGCCAGTCTTAACAGCCTGAGTGGGTTTTAGTCTCTCATTTAATGCAAACTGTTCTATTGAACAGAATCCCAATGTGGCTTTCGATTTTGATCACTGGGAAGAATGTGAAGAGGAGAGCCACTTCTCCAAGGGTAAGGCGGGCGCACCCACTCCCAGGAGAATGGGGGGTCCTGGGTGCCGTGAGGGTGGATCCGCTGATTTGAGGAACGTAGCTTTTGTGGAAATGAGTCATCAGCGTAAAGCCCTTAGGAATTAGTTTTCTTCTGGTGATATCGGTGCTAAATGTTGTAGTTTGAGGAGGTGTCAACTTTTAGTTATAAACATGCCTTCTTTATAACACTTTTACAGGTAATTTTTCCTACAAGAAAAATTTATCTATAAGCAGATAAATTTTACCTGCCCATTTCTTGTCCCAAACTGAAAATAGAAAATAAGCCACCATATAGATAGGTCTAGAACCCAAGGGACTTCTCCTGCATTGACCAAAATAATAGGAGGAAAAAAGATTCGCTAATTAGTCTATCGTGAACATATTTTTAAAAATAATATCTAACTCCTTTAGTTGTAAATCCTAAAAACCTGTCCTGCAAAGTGGCAGAGGTGGTTGAGAACAGTGACCAGACTTCGGAGGACGACGAAAGTGAGAGTGAATGAGAATGTTGGTTAAATCTTGAAGAGTGGCCGGAAGACAGTGAACAGAAATGGATTTTGCTGTGTGACTGAAAGTTAAGGAAACAAGCCGTCATGTTCCAACCGTCTTTCACCCCAAGGATAAATTATTGCTAAGTGTCATCTTGTGGCACTGGGATTGGTAATGGTGAGAAATTCTGACTCGATTTAAAAATGGGCTGAAGAGGAGACTCTCAGAGGAGGGCGGGAGCAGAGACGGAAAGCTCCAGCTCCCGCGGGCTGTCCTCATCGCCTCCTGTGAAGCCCGTCCCGACACGCTCCAGTTGAGTGACCAAGAGCACACCGTGGCTTCGGGTAATGAACGGTACTATCTGGAGCTAGTCTCTTTGTTCTGTTCATTTAGACCTAAACGTTTGGGACTTTCCTAAAAACTTGGTCTTGTGCATATAAATTGAAGTTTTTGTCTTACAAATTCATACTGAGTGCTTAACAGACCCTTTCAACCATGAATTGGGGTTGAACATAACTGCCTGTGTACTAATACTTCTAGTAATTCTCAAGATATTGATAGCTACTCCGAGTAAGTTTACTCTGTATGAAGAGATAGTGCAGGGATAGAAATGGGGTTGCCTCAGCAACACTAGCCAGACTCAAGACTGTCTTGGAGGTACACTTCCGCTTCTGAAGAACCCCCTGAACCTGCGGGGTCCTGAGTAAATGGAACAGAAGTTCCTCTTCAGTAGGACCTGTGGGGTGCCTGCAGGTAATTCTCAGAACCCCTGAAACATCCATGACCCCGTTCTGGGTGAGGCCGTGTCACCCAGGATCCCAAGGGTATCAGGAGGAATGTGTATTGTCGTTACCCCGTAAATGTGAGAATGGCCAGAGCCTGACTTTTCACGTTAATTGGCAGTTAGAAAGGTGAGCTGCTGGCAGACTGCAGCCCTGTGCACTCAGTGGGAGTCTGGCAGCCCTGCCCAGAAGCGGGAAAGCACGCTGATAGAACATGACTCTGTGACTGCCCCTGAGGTCTTTATTCCTTTTATATATCAGAAAGTACGGATGCTCAAGTTTGTGGATGTCCCGGGCATAAGCCACCGCTCGAATGAGAGTTAAACTCTGTCACCAGGCTGTCCCGTGAGCAGGTTTGGTTCGTACTCTGGCTCAGTTTCCTCATCTGTAAAATAAGACCTGCTCACGCGCAGCCTTGCCTCAGGAGGTGGCTGCAGAGGGCTGGGGTCGCGGCCTCCGTTCCACGCAGGGGCCCTGGGACGGCCAGACCGCTGTCCTCTGGTGGGAACATGTGACGTCCAGCCTGGACAGCTGCCAGGAGCACATCCTCGCCGTGGCACGTGTCAAATTGTCACATGAAGCAGAGTGATGATTTTCCTTTTTCTTGGCTAAATCGGCTCTTCAGGAAGTAGGAAGTTCCGGTGTCTCTGCTGGCAAAGGTTTTGACTCCACGGAGCTCTTTTGATGTCTTCGTCTGGTGTCGGTCTCTGTGGATACGGCTTTTGTTCCCGCTGGGGAGGCCTTCCCATAGGTGGCCAAGCCTGAGCTGCACTGGCTCTCCTGGTGGTTGCCGGCCACCTGCAGTTTATGCTCGATTGTATCGTCTCTTTTGTAAAATATAGCAAATAATAATAGCAAGTAATAGAGCTGCACAAATGTGTTTCCCATGTACAAATGGTGGGGGGTCCTGCTCTCAAAGAAGATGTAATGTCATTACCCCTTAAATGTGGAGGGAAAGGCTCCCCGCTTTGTGTAGTTCCCAAAGAGCTAGATGTGGGGGTGGAAGGCTGTACCGTAAACTAATCTTTGTTTCTTTTTTCAGATGATTGTATTTACTCTTTGAAGTTCTGAATAACATTTTGTAGGATGTAAGACAGTGACTTGTGAAATGTAAACGATTACTAATTGGTTTTTCGTTCTATTAATATGTACTGATTTCATGTTTTGGGAAAATTTCTGAAATGCAAGGTAAAAGAACTTTTGTCTATGCTTCTAAAATTGCTCACATAATTAGCTGTGTGATGTCTTTTGCAGCATATCAATAAAATTACAATGTTTTCACAGAAATGTTACTTTTTACCTTTTTTAGAGAGTATTTTCTCTTAGTTCTCAATGCAGAATAGACTTATTCATCATGCTTTCTGGTTTGACCGAAATGCCAGTGAAGGCTGTTGGGGAGCCTGCGATGCTGACCACTGATCGCAGTGTCCCTCGTGGACACACGGGCCGAGTGGTTCCCAACAGTCAGCTCTGCAGCGGGGGCCTCGACGTTCAGCCTGGATAGACCTGCCACGCGCGTCCCAGGTTAAATATGGGGGAGGCAGTACTTTTGGGAGGAGGGTGGGTAAGTAGTAAAACATTTGTAGTTCAATATTTTAAAAACCTATTTCAATCAAAGCAAAAGTTTCACCAGTTTCATATAAGAAATACGTGTGCCTCGTTGGTCACTGAGTTAAGGAATACCCTTTATTTGAGTAGGCACCGTGTGCCCCTTGGTAAAGAGTCGCCGCCGTGACGGTGGCAGTTTTGATTCTGGCCTCCCCTGCCATCAGCCCTCTGTTAGGTTACATCTTCACCTGCTAACTTCGCAAGCACCATCACTTCTCCCATCTAGAACCCCCACCCCACACCTCAGAGAATTAAGGATATCTTAAAAAGTACCGGTATTACAAACATCTGAATACATTTTTTTTATTAAGAAAAACATCAGGAAGAAATAACCACAAATATCGCTTACAAAAATAAATTTGTCACAGCTTGGACTTGGCTCCAGGAGACAGCTTGTTACTCTGGAGCTACCTCAGGAGGGACGACTTCCATAAGCATCTGAAGGTACATGGTGATCGGCTCTGGGGTAAAAATCAAAATGTGCAGTTAGGAAACTGTAACTAAATTAGTTCGCCTTGCTTACAGGTGAGCAGTAATGTTGTCATTACTCCATGGTGGTGTGTCCCCTGTTAGAGCCTGTGCTGGGGACTCAGTGGTGGGAGGCGGTCAGAACCATCTTGGCAGCTACAGTGGTTCTTGGGCATAAGTTATTTCCCAGGAAAGCACTAGGAACCTATTTATGGCCGCCAAACAATTTATAGGAAAAATATGAATGATTCAATTACATGTATATATTCACCACTGACCAAGAGTTGAATATTTAGTCTGAAGTCACTGAAATACAGATTGTTCATTTTTTCACCTGCTTAATTCCAGCTTATTGGTTTTTGTAGGGAGCAGCTTGGCTAAATATTCTAAAGCTGAGAAATAAGACAAATTTCGTTACCGATTTTCTGTCAGTGTGATCAGATCCAGGTTTATTTTCAGAGGCCTGGGGGAAAATGGCTGCTTTCTTAGTAATAAATGATCTTTCCTTTCTATGGCATGGTCAGGAAGCAGGCTGTGGACCTCTGGGGGCCTGGTGAGGGTGCTCGGGGCCCGCAAGGCTTTTATGGGTGGAGTTCCATGCGGTGGACTCTGCAGTGTAGGCTCACACCTTGTGACTGCCGTACATACACAGGTGTGCTGCAGAGTCCCTTCGATGTCCTCTGGCACCACTGCTTTTTCTCAGTGAAAGTGGCTATGTACCTAAACTTTTTTTCAATTATAATTGACCTTTAATATTATTTTATATTAGTTTCAGGTGTACAGCATAGCGGTTAGATATTTATATAACTTATGAAGTGATCACCCCAATAAATCTAGTACCCACCTGGCACTATACATAGTTATTATAATACTATCGACTGTATTCCCTATGCTGTGCTTTACATCCCCGTGACCATTTTGTAACTACCAGTTTGTACTCCTTAATCCCTTCACCTTTTTCATTCAGCCCCACAAAGCCCCTCCCATCTGGCAACCATCAGTTTGCTTTCTGTATCTATGAGTCTGTTTCTGTTTCTTTACTTATTTTGTTCTTTAGATGCTACATATAAGTGAGATCATGTGGTATTTGTCTTTCTCCAACTTATTTCACTCAGCATACTGCCCTTTAGGCCCATCCATGTCGCAGATGGGTACCTGAACTTTTAAACAATTGTCTTAAGGTAGATGAGGAGCCAGAATTGCTGAGTGGAAAGCAAGAGCAGTGACCTTGACATTAGAAGGCTTGGGTCCTCATCTCAACTTGTACTTTCTGGGTGTGTCTGGGATGCTGCTGAGCATCTCAGATGATGTCTGTGCATCAGGCAAAAAGAAGGTGGTGTTCTAGAGGTCAGATGCACAACAGTGAGAACATACTCATCTCTACCGAACTGTATTCTTAAAAAAGGTTAAGATAGTAAGTTTTATGTTATGTGTATTTTACAATTGAAAAAAAAAATGGTGCTCTTCCTCTTGTTACAGCAATTGATAGGAACAAAAGAAGAAGCCACAGGTGGACCCCAGAGGTGTTACACTGAGGATAAGGGGTCATGTGTCCTTGCAGAGGAGGTGAAATTTGCTAGCTGCCTGAGATCCTGTGATAAAGTCTTGGTATAATCAAGACAGATGTGGTTGCAGGATGCCGGGCCCACCTGTGTTTCACTGACAGCAGAACCATCCCTCTGTTACTTACTTGAGATTTTCTGAGCCCATCCAAACTTATAGTGGACAAAAAGGAAGTAAAATATAATGCCGCTCAGCATAAATAGCACACAGTAGAGATACTCCCATGCGGGTTGGGTGATGATTGGGGCCAAAACCAGATACAGGGATACGAATGTCACCAAGATGGGAATGAAAATGGGCACCTGTAAGCGAAACAACGGTGTCATAATTTAGCCACGTGTGTGAGTTTTCTTCTTGAAATTTTTCATTCAAGACCAAAACATTGATATAAAAAGAATATAATGAACTCAATGTTCCCCTCTTCCAGTTTCAATAATATTTTGGCCCATCTTACTTCATCTACTTTTTTTTGTTTTTTCCTTTTCTCTACTATATAAAGAAAATGCCAGACTTTGTGTCGTTTAACCTGTAACTTTTCAGTATATATCTCTAAATGGCTTTATGTTTTTGACATGTTTATTCCCTCCCCTTTTTTATCTTGTCATGGATGCGTTGTAGGAATTGGATGATTTAACCTATACAGTGTCTTAATTCTAGCTTTGCCTGGTAACTTGATCCTTTATCCCTCATATTTTTTGTAAGCTAGTGGTTAGATCCGGAGGCAAGAACCCTTCCTGGTTAGAGTTTGTACCACATCAGGAAGAACTTAATGTCTGACTGCCCCACCTTTGAATCTCTGAGGTCAGTCAGTTTCAGGGGTAGGAGAGGAACTCAGTTCCACCAGATCTGGATTCATCAAGCCACGCAGGGAGGTGGGAGGGAGCCCAAACGGATTGCAAACGTGACCGTTAGTGGTTGCACAGGAATGGGGTTGGGGCCAGAATTCAGAAGTCGCCATCAGTTTATGAAAAGTAAGTATTTGCTTTAGAGATAGTAGAACTGTCATAACTAGATATCTGGCTCTGGTTAGACAGGTCACAGGTATTCTTGGTAATAAGTAATTAGACGGCTAATTGGGTCATAAACTATAATATGAAATGAATTAAAGAGCAAACTCCACTCTAAAATATGATAGTCAAGAGGAAAATACAGTCAGGTTGGAAATAATATTCCCCTAGAATTTACGTGATCCCTAATTCATTTCAAGAAATCAAAGGCACTTGTGACATTGGGGGCACTACACCTACCTTGATAGGCCTTTCCAGTTCTTTCCTTGTGAACCTCATCACAATCAGTCCTAGAATCGTCATGCCATAAAATAGCCATGCAGCAAAACTGAAGTAGTTGACTAATGAGTTTATATCACCAGGGATGATATAAATTATTGTTATGATACCCTAGGAGAAAGAATGAATTCTTAGGTCATTGGTACATAAAAACATCATTCTTATCACTTATCACCTTACAGGAGACTGACGAAGTAGTTTTTCCTGTGGATAAACAGTTGAGCATGAAAGAAACCTCCCGTGTATATTTGGGTTTAACTAAATATATGGCACTGGTAAGTGTTCTCTTTGAGGCCTAAAGGAAAGGACTTGGCTACTCTCCGCAGCTGTGATTTTAAGCAGGGGAAAAACCAATTATGTGTGTATACTGCACCAGCCTCTCAATTATGAATTTCCCTCCCAGAGAGTTTTCATCATGGGAAGGGCCCTGGTCTTGACCTGCATTAGCTGCACCTTATAATTCCTTGTAATTCTGGGTCAGTTTCCTCATCTTCAGAGGGAGTAGATGGACAGAGAGAGCAGTGGTCCTCTGAGGGTGGGAGGTGGAGTCTGGCCTTGAGTCTAGTGTGGACGATCTGAGGTACCCAAGACGGTTGGTTGCACACAGCCGAGGAATATCCCTCACCGAGAAACTCCAATTAGAAGATGTCAAAGGGCCATTACTGCACAAGGGCCTCCTGACTTCTAAATTATTGGACCCTAAATGAGAAGCTGCTGTCAGTATCCACCTTGTAAAATGCCTTATTCTTCTTCCCTGTAAATTGGTGGGGTTTTGTAGTTTGTTACTGGGGACCCAGGACATAGAAATATATATGTAAGAAGTGTAGAGAGTACAGGCTTGGAAGATTCAGAGTGTCTCATGGATAAATTCAGAACAAGGAGCAGAAGTTGGGTAAACTGTTTGAATTGTCTCGGGCCTTTTTATATGCCTGTTTCATGTTGAGGACTAAGGGAACCTGGGTCATTTGAAAACCACTGGGTTTAGCAATATAGGTTTACTTTACCATCCAAACTGAGGGACCCTCTGCCTTTAAGGGGGTGTTTCCACGGCGGAATTCATACTTACGTAAAAGATAATGGCAGGGGCTGGAGTCAGGCGCTTGACGCTGATGTAAGAGAGCACTTTAAGCATGTGGCCTTCCCGGCCTGCCACATAAACAAGTCTGGAAAAGCAGTAATACAGAAGTCAGGTGATGAGAGTGCAGGCTGCTACCAGCACTGAGCAACTGATTTCTCAGCTTCACTGCTGGACATCTTGCTCTGGTTAGATAGGTCACAGGTCTTCTTGATAAAGAGAAAGACTGAGCTGTGACCCTGGTGTCTTCAGGTAAGAGTCTGGCCTCTGGAGGTGGGTGAGTTTTG